CTCTCTCTCTCTCTCGTTCTCTCCTATCTCTCTCTCTCTCTCTCTCTCTCTCTCTCTTTGTTATCTATCTCTCCTCTCCTCCTTCCTCTCTCTCTAACACATTTTAATTTCCTCCTTGCTCTTCTCCTTCCCCTTCCCTGTTCATTTCCCTTCCTCTCCGCCTCCTCCTGCTTCCTAACTCTCCTCTCTCTCAACTTCTTTCTCTGTCTTTCCTTCCCTCTCTTTCCCTCTTCCACTCCATTTCTCCTCTTCTCTCCTCTCCCCCAATCTCCCTCTTCCTTCTCTATTTCTCCTCCAACGCGCGCTTATTCTTTTCCCTCTCCTCTCCTTAACCTCTCCTTTTACTGTTCCCTCGCTCCTCTCCTCTTCTTTCCTCCTCCCCTCCCTCCCCTCCGCTCTCCGCCTCCTCCTCCCTCCTCCACCCCCACCCCGCCCTCCTCTCCACTAGGACCTGCCTTCTTCAAGACGTAATTAAAGTCCTCAAAGATTCATTGCGGTTAAACACTGCTCATTTCCCTCCCGTGGTTGAACCTGTCAACCCCCTCCCCCCCCCTGCTGAGAGGGCTAGTAAACGGACACACGCACACACATACAACATACACATACATATACTACATACACATACACATATAACACCATACACATATACATACACATGCACCGGACACACGCACACACTACACGGACCACGCACACACACACACACACACACACACACACACACACACGACACACACACACACACACACACACCACACACACACATCACATATAACACACCATACATATAATACACATACACACACACAAACATATACATACACATACACTTACACACATATGTATGTAATGTTACATAATATATATAGATATTTGTGCATGTGTTATATTTATCCTCATTCTAATTCCTCTTCAGTGGCTTCGCACGCCCACTCTCCCACCTCGCGAGACCCTCTTTATCCCCCCCCCCTCCCTCTCCGTCCCTCCACCCTTTCCCCCCTTCTTCCTCCTCTTTCCGTCACCTCTAAGCCTTCCCCCCCCCTCTTCCCTCCCTCTTTCCGTCCCTCCAGCCTCCTCCCCCTATTCCCTCCCCCCTCTCCCCCTCTTCCCTCCCTCCCTCCCTCTCTCCCTCCCTCCCATCCTCCCCCCTCCCCTCCCTCCCTCCACTCTTCCTCCCCCTCCGTCCCTCCACCTTTCTCCCCACTTTCCCCCTCTTTCCGTCCCTCTTCTCTTCCTCCCTCTTCCGTCCCTCTACCCTTCCCCCCTCTTCTCTCCCTCCTTCCGTCCCTCCACCCTTTCCTCCCACCCTGCCCCCCTCTTCCGTCCTCCACCCTTCCCCTTCTCTTCCCTCCCTCCCTCCTCTCGTCCCTCCACCAACTCCCCCCCCCCTCCACCCTCCCCCCCTCTTCCCTCCCTCCCTCCATTCTCCCTCCCTCCATACCATACACGCAACTACCTACCATTTTCTGATCCCCTTCAATCCTTGCAGATGAAGACGCGGGCGTGTCTAGCTTACCTCCTGGTGGGCGTGTGTGGGCTGGCCGCCGCCCTGCCCCTCCTAGGCGAGGGCGGGCAGATGGGGCCGGGCGAGGGACCACGTGACAACAACCCCGTGTTCAACGTGTGGGAATACGCCTACGTGCACGATGGCTCTGTGAACACCCGGTCGGCGCAGGCGGATGAGTCGTGAGTAGATGGGCGGTTTTGTGTTGTGTTTCTCTTTCTCTTTTTCTCTTTCTCTTTCTCTTTCTCTTTCTCTCTTCCTCTTTCTCTTTCTCTTCTCTTTCTCTCTTCTCTCTCTCTCTCATCTCTCTCTCTCTCTCTCTCTCTCTCGTCTCTCTCTCTCTCTCTCTCTCTCTCTCTCTCTCTCTCTCATCTCTCTCTCTCTCTCTCTCTCTCTCCACTATCCATATCCCTCTCCTATATCTATCTCTAACCTCTATTCCTTTCCTTCTCCCACTCCCTCTCCCACCCTCTCTCTTCTCCCTATCTTCCCTCTCCCTCTCCCTCTCCCTCCTCTCTTTCCCCCTCCTCTCTCCTCTCCCTCTCCTCCTCTCCCTCCCTCTCCCTTCTCTCCTCTCTCCCTTCTCTTCCCCCCTCCTCTCACCCTCTTTCCCTCTTCTCTCCCTCCCTCTCCCTCCCTTCATTCACTTCCTCGCATCCCCTTCCTTCACCTCCCACCCTCTTCTCTTCCCCGTTCCCGCCTTTTTCTTGTCTTTGTTAACTTCCCCTTTATCTTAAGGACTTCCGCGACCTCTAAGACGGATTATCTATATGACCTGCGGCAAAGGACGTCGCTCGAGCCGCCCTTTGGACTCCCTTGCATCTCTCGGGTCGAAAGGGACGTCGCCGCTTCTACATCTTGTAGTTAGGAGGAAAAGAAGACCATCGGTATAATGTGACTTCGATGTTAAAACCCTTGGTGGTCGGTTATCTTCCTTTCTATTTTCTCTTTTTGATTTATGTCATGTTTTGGGTTTTCGATTTGTTGCATGATGGCGGGTTCTTGATAAAGAGAGATAGACAGGCAGGGAGACGGATATACAGATATATAGATACATCGACAGACACAGACACAGAG